TAGCTAACAGACAGCAAAGAACCTTCAGTCCCTCAGCCTAAATCAGTACTTCTCAAATAGTGGGGCGCACCCCCAAGGGGGGGTGCGAGGCTCCGTAAAGGGGGGCTTATAAGGTGTACTTATAGCAATTTTATAGACAAATGATACTATTTACAGTCACGCGGGGGGTGCAAAATGTTTTCTTCTTCCTAGGGGGGGCATGACAGAAAATAACTGAGAAGCACTGGCCTAAATAGATGGGGTAGAAAACCTCACGTGTTTCACTGTGTTTCTCCCTTCCCATCCTCTGCTTTTTATCTCAGTATGCCAGTGTTACAAAAGCAAGGGAGGAAAAATGCTGTTCTTCAACATGTCAAGCAAAGGAAGGGCAGATAACATTTATGAATAATTCATACTGTCAATTTTTGTTTGTATACAGTCATCCCTCCCTGTTCACGGTGTTGGGGTACACGGTCTCACTCTTTGTGGGATGGCAAGCGAGGAGGGACAAAATAGTCATGGGTGTGAGCACCATTATTTTCAATGGGGCATCAATATTTGCAAGTTCCTATGAGGGGGGGGTCTGGAACAGATCCCCCATGAATTAGGAGGGGCAACTGTATTTCTGGAATTTTAAAAAGGTATTTGCACACCTGTTTTTCAGCTGAGCATCTGAGAAAACCAAACAGGAAAACAAAATGAGCACTGTACTGTTCATCTGATTTCTGATAATAGTAAAGAAACATTCACATGTGGAGCAATGGAGAGGGGGGTAAGCTGGGGCACAAAAACCAAGTTTCTATCATGGTAGTTCTGGTAGTGAGTCCTTCTGGTAGTGAGTCAGAAAAATTCCCTGTTTCCTTTTTAGGTCCTCCAGGGCCAGGGGTATGTAGGTCGCAACCTGAGATAAGGTCTCCTTAGTGGTATCATCCTAGTTTTGGAATGCTCATTCTAGAGAGGCTTAGTTCATGCCAAACAAAGTCAGCCCCAATTAAATACCTTTTTATTTGTTGAGAACTTCAAAAATGCTAAACTTTTGTAACTTGTTGGAGAGGGTACACTTATAATAATAATAATAATAAATAATAAAATTTTATTTCTACCCCGCCCAATGGATACCCAATCAGGGCGGCTTACAATTTTAAAATCATGAACCATATAAACATATTATACACAAAACCCCACCCACCCCCTTAAAACAGTATTAAATCAGCAAGTTATTAAAACATAATTTAAAATTAAGGTCCACACAGAGTAGTAGGCAGGCTCAAGAATCCCTTCCATCTAACGATGGGGCCACGTAGGGACATCCGAGCGCAGTCCTTATGTCCGGGGTGGGTTAATTAGTCTGGAAAGGCCTTAAACAGAAACCATCTCTTCCTGTAGGTGAAATCTAATCTTGGTTGTTGCTCAGTCAAAATAGCTCCAATAAAAAAAAAATATCTTTGTGTTAATACAAAGGAAGAGAGCCAACATGGCATAGGACATTATCACACATGGGCCAGTTTCGTTGTTAAAGAGATAATAAAGTGGAAATGAAGCATCCCGAAAAGAAAGTGAAAATAGAGCTTAATTATGCAAAAGCTTTTCACACGTAATTACAGTAATAACGGAATTAAGTTAAAAGCGAAAAAAAGACGTTTTTAACTTTCATACACAAGTGAAAAGAACCCGTATATGTACTGGAAATGGGTGTGTTTCATGACCAAACTCTTCCTTTTTCCAGGGCGGTTCCTGCATTTCCCAGGAGGAAAGGTTAGACTGTCCTCCATTTGGGGTCATGTCCTCCTGCACAG